ATATATATATAATGCCTTGTGCATTCAACAGTATGAACAATAATACGTTGTGATAGGATAGGTGTCCAGTAGTAATCCTGACCATTAATGCAGCAATCCAGCACCTATGAGGAAGGTGAAGAGTCAAGGTGGTTGTGGTTTCTGCTATAAACCTTCTCAGTTCTCTGGAGGATCAGCTGACGTTGCAAAGCCTCCTCTCTATGGAAATGTTTTCTCTGCTCTCAACAAACAACAAAGCAATGTGAGAAGGAATACATTTTGATATCTAAATGAATTATTATGAGATGATTTTGATCCTAACAAAATACTGGAAAATACATCAAAACTTTCAACATCTAGATTAAAATGGCAGATTGGTTGGTAAGTGTATATTTTACTTTTTAGATCAATAAAAATTATGAAAATGATCATAAAGTTTTTTTTTAAAAAAGCAATTTGAACACAAACACTTTTATGCCAAATATTTTCTAAACTGTGAAGTTTACTGGGGAGAAAAAAAAGATCATTTTCAGGGGTTACATGCTTGATCAGAGTGTGGGAGGTTTTTGTACGGCCACTTAATGAGTTTGTATCACTGTGGTACACTTTTGGTGGAGGAACCAAACTCATCATTCACTGTAAGTATCTAAATCTCCTCATTACTACAAAATATTATACTATTACATATTACTTATATTATAAGTGTAATATGTCATCAGAATGTTTTAAACAAGATTTTATTCTGGGTGTTTTACATGATGTGATTGGGTTTGGTCATAGTGGCTGATACTGAAAACTTGGTATCAGAAGAGTTTAAATATATAATACAGTATTATCATATCATTATACAGTATATCAAGTTTATATATCGTGTTTATATAGTACTGAAAATTGAAATGTATTGAGTTAATCTGCTTTAAGTAAAGGTTTTTTGTATTTATCTGTGAATAAATATTTTTTTCACAAAATCTGAGACTGAAAATATAGCAAAAGGAATCTTTGATTTTATTTATTTATACAAACAGTTAGCAGCATAATATCGTTCATGTCTTAAAGATCATTTGATTATTTGCAGATTAATGATTTCATCGCTGAGTTTATAGTTTATTAGTCTGATGTAGTAAAAAGGAAGTGAAACAAACAGATGACAAAGTCCAGCTCTGTTTGTTTTCCATCAAGAATATTACTGTAACAACAAGACATTTACTTTAAATTATTGTAACGTTTACAAAGATTTTAATGAGTGTAAAAACACAATTAAATTAAAGTGTTATGTTCTTCTATTTCTGACCTCCTCTCCTCAGTCTGATCACAGTGTCATGCACACAGTTAATCCACAGTGCTGTTAATCTCTGTCATGTATCATAACTGTGTAAAGCTGTTAGTGAAAATATGATATGATGACTTCCACTGAAATGTTTGGCACCATGTTGGATATAACATTTTATGCTGTTGACTAAATGAATTAGTTTTCATACAGATGCACTTTAACGGTTGAGTTTACAGTTCGTTAGTCTGATGTGATGAAAAGGAAGTGAAACAAACAGATGACAAACTTTAATATTTCCTGTACACATTTCAATTTTATCATCATGAAAACAAATACAGCGGTACGTTCACTAATTATTTATACTTTTTTAAAACCTTTTATCCTCCAATTTCTAAGTTTCTCTCCTCTGTTTTATCACAATATCATCATACAGTTAATCCACAGGCCTGTTAATCTCTGTCATGGATCATAACTGTCTCGTGTCAGCTATCTGTCCTACAGTAGAAGTTAATCTATCGTTGTGTGTCTGTGATCTTCCCTCCAGCTGGCCCCATGGTCAGACCCTCAGTCTCTCTGCTTCAACCCTCCTCTGAAAAGCTCTCTGGAGGCCCAGTCACACTGGCCTGCCTGCTGACCAGCTACTCTCCTCAGGGAGCTGAAGTGAGATGGGAAGTAGATGGCACAGAGGTGACAGAGGGGGTCCTGAACAGCTTAGAAGAAGAGAAGAGTAGTCGCTACAGCAGCAGCAGCACCCTGATGCTGAGCCAAGACAACTGGATGAACGCAGAGGTGTTCTCCTGCAGGGTGAACCATCATGACCACCGGCAGGCCAAGTCCTTCCGCAAGAACCGGTGTGAGGGCTAGAGGGGCTGCTGAAGTCCAGGACAGGAGCTTAGTGTGGGGGAGCAGGAGATACATCCCTGCTGCTCTGATCAATATGAGTTTGAAAGTTTGCAGATGAAGTTATTTGATAACAGTAACTTACACAGTGACATGTGTAGCAGCTGGATGTGAGTGTGCCTAATAACTGCCATATTAATGATTCATACTTTTGCCAATAAAGCTTGCAGTGATCCATATTATTAAGCATTCTGTCTTATTTTTAAATATAATTGTTCTATAATTTCAGTGTTGTGTACTATAAATTAACCTGTTTGCCTAACACATGAAAAATCAAGTCTGGGAGGAGATGAAAATGGCAGGGCTGCATCTGGCCTGAACATCTGGGACAAATCAAATATGTGTTCATCATTTGAAATTAATGGAAAAGCTGAAAGAAGCTTGTGGTCATGTATTTATATCTTTTAGCAGGATGACAATATCTCCAAATTTTACTCTTGCGGAAAAATAAATAACTTGAGTTTGATTCAGTAAATAAATGTTTTACTTGAAATTAAAACCATGAAGAGATCTAGAAAATAAAAGCTCAAAATGTGAGTGTAGAATGTATCTTAGTTAGTGTGCTCATAATCAAATATGTAAATCACTTGTACACTTGTATTATGTTTAAGTGGTTATTCTAGTTATTCTGATTGCAGTTGAAAACTCTACACCTGCAGCCTTCAGCCAAAGTGAAGAAATTTTTTATGCAGCCATGAATCATTGTGTAAACACTTCACTACCATGGTAACCCACAGTAATAATCTGCAGCATCTACTGCCTGAAGATCACTGATGGATAAAGTGTACTGAGAACCAGATCTACTGCCTTGGAGTCAAGATGGAGTTCCTGAGTTTGGGAGGCTGTCCAGGTTTCTAAAGGTACTAAGTCCAGCAACTCCCTGTGGTGCTGACGGTCACAGTCCCTGACAGGCTTGACCACAGTGCACACATCTGCTGTTGCTCACAGTGGTCCACGGGATCGCTCAGGGAGTTTGTGTGTTCGCTCAGACACATGAAAAATTAGAGGGAACATTGGTCACTGCTAGGTTCGGTCCTGCATTGCACCAGAGACATTATAAGAGAGAGACATGGAAGTGATATGAAATATAGGCAAACACACATCTGTTTTTGTGAAACAGAACAGGTACATATAACGTGTAAGTTGATCCTTTTCTCATTCCGCTTTTTTGGGGGGAAAAAACAAAACAAATTTTTTTTCCCATGAAAGCAACTAGCTTTTTTTTTTCTGTTTTCTCATGGGAGGATCAGCTGATGATGCAAAACCTCCTCTCTGTGGAAATGATTTCTCTGCTCTCAACATACAACAAAACAATGCGAGAAGGAATACTTTTGGTATCTAAATGAATTATTATAACAAATTATGATTCTAACAGAATACAGACAAATAGTTCAGGAAAGATGAGAGCAGTTTTTTTTAACATCTGGTTTAAAATGCCACATTTGTTGGTAAGTATATATTTTACTTTCTTGGATCAACCAGCAGAGGAAAAATGATGAAAATGATCATAATTTTTTTTTTAAATATATATATAGTCACATGTATTTGATGGCAAATGCTTTTGCTTGTAAACTCTGACGGTCACAGTCCCTGACAGGCTTGGCTTAACAGAGTTAGAAAACTGTTGGCAAATTACTTTGAAATGAGGACTAAAATGATGTGAATCTTGAGGAAAAAAACAGAAAATGTATCAGGTTAAATCAGAGAAACATGAGCAGCACAAACAGAATTAAAAATAAACAAATAAAAAAAAACTCTCACCCTGACTCAGAAAGCCAAACTTGAGTTACTGGAAACATCACTTGACCCTGACCACTGCTCAGAGTAGAGCTTCAGCAGTTACACTGCGAGCCAGTGTTTTCTGTTTTTGTTTTAAGTTTTATTCTGGGAATTATAGCTTTCTGTCTTGTATTTTCTCTTTTACCTCTTTTAAAACACCCACATCCAGTGTTCAGTGTTTTGGGTTTTGCTTCACTGTTGTCTTGTCTAATTAGGTTCAGCTGTGTCTCCCTCCTGTCTGCCATTTTCTTGTTAGTTTTGTCTGTATATTTAGTGCGTGTTTACCTCTGTTCTTCGTCAGAGCGTCTGCCTATCATTCTGTGTACCTCTGTTGGAGCAGCGTTCAGATAGCTGCTCTGCTCTATGTTGGTACAGGGCATTGAAGATGATAACAGGAGTATTATATTCTTAAACTTAGTTACAGCGCTTTCAGAAAGACATCTACTGTGATGAAAGTCTACTCTCCACTCGCTGTGTAATAATTATTGTAAATGTAGAATGTTAAGGATGTAGACCAGATAAGGGTTTTCAGGAAACACTGTTAAATGTTCAGTTTCTATGCCATATGTTAAAACAAGATCTAGAGTGTGATTAAAGTGGTGGGTGGGTTCTTTTACATTTTGAGAGAAGCCAATTGAGTCTAATAACAGATTAAATGCCATGTTGAGGCTGTCATTTTTAGCATCTACATGGATGTTAAAATCACCCACAATAATTATTTTATCTGAGCACTAAATCAGATAAAAAAACTTGCCTGCTATTTGTTGGTCCCATTTTTGCTGGTAAAACAGCCCTTAACAGTTGAGACATGGACTCCATTAGTGGTTGCTGGAGTACTTTTCTATGCTGTGGTGTGCTGGGGGAGCAGCACAGCAAAGAGGGACTCATCCAGGCTGGAGAAACTGATCAGGAGGGCTAGCTCTGTGGTCGGCATGAAGCTGGACACTCTGGTGACAGTGGCAGAGAAAAGGACATAAAGAAACTGCATGGACATTATGGACAATGCCAGGCATCCTCTGCACACGGCCATTAACAACCAGAAGAGTCTGTTCAGTGACAGGTTGCTTCTCCATCTCTCTCTT